GGGCTGGCTGGCATGTGGTGCTGGGGGATTGAACCGCGGTCCCTGTGCTTTGCTGAGCTTGTTCTAAGTAGGTGCTTTAGACCACTGAGCCATCTCACCAGCCCCTCAGGCTGGTCTTGAACTCACTATGTAGCCCAGGCTGGCCTGAAATCCACGGTGATCCTCCCGCTTCAGCATTCCTACTGCTGGGATTATAGTTGTGCACCACCACCACACATGCCCTGCCCTCCTCTAGGGTCCTGAGGGTAGGAATTCACTGCACTGTCCTTTTCAGCCTCCAATACACATAAATGCAGCTAATAACCAATCTTATGGGGCCAACAGTCAGGCACAGCTTCCAAACCGAACAATGAAGTATACTCTTTCAAGTATTATTTCCCAATGGACTGGGTGGCTCTATTCACTCCAACTCTGAGATGCTCCACGGAGTGGCTCCCAACCTGGAGTTCTGCCCACCCACCCTGCTGGCTCTACAGTAGCCCAGCTTCAATCCTGGTTGCTCTAATGCTGAACCAAGTGCTGTCAACACAGTCCAAGTGCCTACTGTTCCAGCTCAGTTCTGGTTGGGATTTACTCTGCTTCTGAAGATTCTCTGGAACCTAAGGGATCACTAGATACTGCAGTTTTAGCATCAGTGTGGCCTGGTGCCTGGGCTCCTAGGGCTCTTGGAACTGAACAAACGGTTGGCAGAGATGGAGCTCCTGCTTTTGCAGCCAACAGCCAGAGTGATTTCTCCTGAAAACATTGAGAACAGATAAGAGGCCACACTCCTGGAGTTCAGAGTTTTTGTACCAACAGTGTAACCAGGTTAGTAGGTTGGGGCTCAGACCTGCTATTCCAAGTGCAGTTCATGTACTTAATATTGAACATGAAGTATTGAAGTGCTGGGAGGTGCAGGATGAGAACACTGAGGGACTTGGGGGTTACAGAAGTCAGCAAGAAATCAGCACCAGTGTCCACATTTCCACTGGGTATAAGGACTGCCAAGCTCAGCCCCACCTCTAGCAGAGGAAGCTGCAGGACTAAGAGGGGTTTGAGTGGCAATGATGGCTTTGACAATAAGGTTTCCAATATCTCCAGGGAAATGACTGCAGAAAACCGTAACACATAGGGAAAAACTTATCATTAAGAATAGGTGTAGCAGCTGGACATGGAGACAAACACCTGTAATGCCAGCACTCTGGGAGGCCAAGGCAGGAGGATGGCAAGTTTGAACCCAGACCAGGTAATTCAGCAAGATCCTGCCTCAAAATAAAAAAGAGGCCTGCCCATTAGCTGGCCTGCTCATTAGCTCAGTTGTTTAAGTGCCGGCTTAAACAAAGCAGTCAGGCTCAGGATGCTGTGGTTCGATTCCCAGACACTCAGGCCAAACCAGACCTGCCCTCAAGGATTCTCAGGCCACCCAAAAAAAAAAAAAAAAATCCTTCTGCCACTTTTGGGGTGCCTTCCCCCATTAGGTCAGTGGTTTAAGTGCCTGCTGAAACAAAGCATTGAGGCTCAGGATGCTGTGGTTTGATCCCCAGACCCTGAAGCCAAACCAGAGCTTGCCAGAAGGTATCCTGAGGCCACCAAAAAAATAAATAAATAAAATAAAATAAAAAAGAGCTGATGCAGGTAGCATATCACAAAGGCTCTGAGTTCAGGCCCCAGTACCTCACACACACACACACACACACACACACACACACACACACACAATAGGTGTAGGCCTGGGGGTGTGCTGGGGGTGAAGCTCAGTGGCAGGCAGCTTATCTAGCACATATTAGGCCCTGTGTTCAATCCCCTACACTACATTAAAAGAATTAAAAAAGGGCTGGAGAGATGGCTCAGTGGTCTAAAGCACCTACTTAGAACAAGCTTAGCAAAGCATCAGGGACCGCGGTTCGATCCCCAGCACCACATGCCAGCCAGCCC